CCCCAAAACCCCAAAACCCCAAAACCCCAAAACCCCAAAAATAAAATATAATATTGAAACAAGAATAATTTTACTAAAGTACTTTTGAATAAGTTAGAGAGAAGATATACTAATCAAGGGATTGGACTGACGAGATTGGACTGCTAAATCTCTGTCCTGATACCAATCTATTCAATGCTCATTTTCTGTTCTGAAAACTATACAAACATAAGATCACAACTAGTAAATTAGGAATTTACCTCTAATTGAGTACGCTCTATTATTACCAAAATGATCACTACTCTGATGGTCCAAATCTGTGTTTATTTTAATAGACTGGCTCCAATCAGGCTCCTTTCAAAATGTCTGGGAGTAAGGAACAGACTCACTAGAGCTTATTCTATGCGAGTTCTTTAGTTTCCTCCCCGATCTCTTAATAATAACTTGAAATGGCACATCACTCTCTGAAGGCTCTTTATATAAATGTTTGCTTGCAAACTCTAAATTTTTTTATCAATCTTAGAAAATAAATACTCAAAAATTCAAAAACTAAAAACTTGGAATTATCGCCTACCAAGTTTATTTTGAACTCCAAAGTTTTGCTTCATCATTATGTTGCTATCATACTTCTGATCTTCTTCGGCTTGGTTTTTAGCAATAGAATGAGTTTCATACTTGCTACGCCTTCCTGCTCTGATCTGAAGACTATCGATAAAATCTTGCTCAACATGGGGAAATTGATTCTGATTACTCGCTTTATGTACATTTTCTAAAATAGTCAAAATGCCATCCTCAGAATAAAAGCAAAGAGGAAGAAATGTACGAAAGTTTGAATATTGACTTACTTGAGTCGCTACCAGATCAATTTAGCCCTTTCATCTTCTCTCTTTGCTGATGGAAAATACTCATGAGAAGAGTTGCTTGGTGTTCAGTGACCATACCATTCTTGATTTCTCTAACGGCTTGTTTATATAGATTGTACTGATGTCTTGATAGCCACTGATTGCCTCCCTTGAAATTAGGACTACCAACAACAAGCCATGAAAGGAACTTTGATTCCTTCTGATCCTTATTTAGTAAGCTTTTCCTTGGTAGTCTTACCATTTAATATAAGATAAGTATGGAATCATCACAGAAAGAACAGTAACAGGAACAGGATTATAGTGGCTATCATAATTCATCCAATGATTACTCTTGCAACTTGGGTGTTCTTCACTGGGCTATCTCTTGAAGGCTTATGTCCTGGCTGGAAGTCTCCGGTAATGTAAATAATCACACTAGCAAGAATTGTCAGACCATTGAGGATGATAAATCATAAGAACCCAATGAAGTACTTATAATTCCTTTTTCCAATGCAATTATTAAGGTAGGGACAATGATGGTCTAAGACTTCCACTCATCAGCCACAGGCTGATCAATGAGAAGCTCTTTTAGGCCTCCATATCTTGCAGGTTTTACAAAATTTCTGCTCTTTATCACCATTTAAATCCTTCTGAAAATTTTCAGGAATCAAACCGTCATTCAGAGCTTTCATCAGAGGATATCTAAGAATTATGCCTGGATCCTTGAATGAAGTAATCACTGAGAGCAATATCGTGGTCACTAGGATGATTAGGTTAAACCCTACCAGAAGTGGGGAGACCCTCATTAATAGATAAGGGGCAAGCATTGAGAAGTACATCAACTGTATGATCCCAAATGAAATCCAATAACAATATTTCGATTTATTATCTGATTTGGGTCCCTTAATAAACTGTCCTCAAAACTGGAAGGAATTGTTGGCGTCCCATAAATTTTTCACCTGAATATATTTTGAGCTAATGCCGACCCTCTTATCTTCTTGGCTGAATCGGAGATGGATGTCTTGATCACAAAGATTCTGTTCTGATTCCCTCGGAATAGCACAGTTGTTAGAGAATTTGCGTTCCTCTCTCAGCTGGAATTGACTGCCATCTTGGATACTTTGTTCCATTTTGGGAAGATAAATTAATAATAAATTTATTTAAAATTTTTTTTTATGATTTAGAAAAAGACAGTTTACATGTTTTTAGTTATCAAATGAGCCTATCTATTTATTCTAAGAAGCAAGAAAGCGATTTAATTAGACATTCTGAATTTTTAGGCCTAAAACGTTGCGAGAGACTGAGAGCTTACCTCACATTCATAAAGAGCATTGAATAATTTCTGATAGGGTACCATGGTGCAGACTCATATCTACAGGTGATGTAAAGAATTCGCTTAAAATAAGCGTTCTGTAGAGCTGTAAGTATTAATAACCACAAGCAAGCCATTATTGCTGATACTATTAGCAAGTATGGGTTTTCAAGAAGCAGATTTAGGCCAATTTTACCAAGAGTTATCAAACTCCTTCATTTGGAAATCTGTAAAAATATTTTATCGTTTAAATTTTGTGAGTAAAATGGACAAAAGTAGTATAACAATTGATCAGAATTCTCGTAACAAATATTTGATGATTTTGTCCATTGTAATGGTGTTTCTCTCATTGAAAATAAGATCCAGTTTTGATGGAGGAAGTAAGCAAGTTTAGTGAATAGGTACTAACTCTAACTCATATTCTCTTGAAGCTGCACATATAATCTTATCTCCAGATATACTTGAAATCAGCTTATATTAATAATTTTATCAGCAAATTTTTCCAAAATTTAGATTTTTTGAACCGATTAACATACTCATAATGTGTATTTTAAGTTAAACATTAAAAATACTCAAAATATGCAGTAATAATTGATGAAAACAGTCATCTATCACTTGAACATACATCAACCATGCCTAGAATTACTAAACTAAGGTCTAAGAGTAAAAACATCTCATTCAACTCAACCACTAGAAAACTCCCTTCAAACCCCACCTCACTAAAACCTCTCGCCAAACCCATATCTCCCCTATAAACCTCCCAAATCCCTGACCACATCCCCTTAAGCCCCCTTCCGACCACTTACCCCCCTCCAAACCCCCCTCCACACCCCAATTTCTCCACCCAAAATCCCAGTCCCCAGTCCTCCCCTTCCAATCCCCCAGTCACACCCACACTATCAGCACCAGCTAATCTCCCAAGAAGCCAGCTAAATTTCAAGTCCTGAAACTTAGCTTGGGGTTTTGGGGTTTTGGGGTTTTGGGG